AATTCTGGGAGTGGAAGTCCACCCCTCTTAAAGCATTCTGACTGAGGAATTCTGGGAGTGGAAGTCCACCCATCTTAATGCAGGCTCGCAGCTCTTGGCAGTCAAAGAAGCTGCACAGAAGTGACAGCATCTTTTTACCCCCTTCAAACAGAGACAATATCAAAATCTGACGACCCAGGATTCGCACTCGGGCTCGGCTCATGAAACCCTCCTCTGCTTTGCAGGGGGAACATTTTGAAACACCCGCCTCCCGTAAAATGTCCTGACTTTTGCAGAAGTGATCCAACCACCCCACTCCCACCTACTCTGCCAATTTCCCCCTTCCCACCCCAGGGAGGGAGGACCGAGATCGAATCCAGACCACGTCTCCCCATCCGCCCCCATGCCCAGCGGCCCCCCTCCTCACCTTTTACAAGCAAGACACTGTGGCAGCCGGCTCCCGCCGCCGATCTGAGGATGGTGCCCAGATTTCCGGGGTCCCGAATGTTATCGCAGATCAGGGTGAGGGGCAGAACCTGCTCCTGCGGGATTTCGGGGTAGGTCATTTTGTCGTGATGGGGCATGGTGAAAATGCCTGCGAGAAAACCAAGAGAGGCGGGAGGTGATTGGCTGGGAGGGGTAGAGGAGTCCAGGCTGGGTTGGGGGCAGAGAAACAGGCCTTGGTCCACCCCCCACCCCCCCACCCCAGCTGCAGATTGAACCCTGAGCTGACCAGATCCTCAATCCCCATGGCCTCAGCTGGAAGCCTGTCGAGATTCTCCGTCATCCAGGTCGTGGTTCTCCCAAAGGGGCTTTTTCAGGAGGCAACTGTTGTGGTTTTTTTCTTTTGAAAATGTTTTGCTTCTCATCCAAGAAGCTTCTTCGGCTCTGACTGGATGGTGAGGAATGGAAGGGATTTCTACTCTTTGCAGACAGCTGGTCATTTGCATCCTTTTAGAGGGTCGTTGAGGCCACTTGGAGGTTTCTCTGTGTCCTCTGGGGTCACCCGAGTGGTGCAAATGGTTCCTGTAGTCTGCCATTTTTTTCCCTCTGGAAATCCATTCCTTGTCGTAGCAATTTATTGTGGCTACCTTCTTTTATTGTAATACATTTTGCCGATAATCATATTCCCAAATATTTAATTTTCTTGGCCCTCAAAATTCCCAGTTTCTCCTCCAGTCCTTCGTTTTGACTTTTGGTTAAATTCTTAGTTAATATTGTAGTTTTCTCTGTATTTATTTTAAGCCCTGCCACTTTACCGAATTGGTTTNGCGGGTCTCAAAAAGTCAAATGGCCCATCCCCCGCTTTGCCTGATCAAAGCCTCGCACCTATTACAAAAGGGGGCGGAGTTCAGTTACCTAATTGCAGTGGCCATCTTGACCTTTTTTTTTTGGCCTCCTCTCTGAAAGCCCCTCCCCCCCCAAAGAAGCCGCAATGTAGCAGAGGCTGGAAAGGAGACCACTCGGAGAGCCTTTAAAAAAAAAAAACAACTTTCGAAACAAAAGTCGAGATTCGGGATTCTAGCCCTCACTGTTTCAACTGGAGCCCGGAAACCCCGCCTTCCTTGATCAGCCACTGCCTCTTGGCCTCGAAGAGGAGGATGCTGGCAGCCATGGCGGAGTTCAAACTCTCCACGCCGGGGACCACGGGGATGGCCAGCTGCTTCCCGCCGCTCCTCTCGGACAGCTGCTTGGCTTCGGGGCTCACCCCGTGGGTCTCCCCACCGACCACGACGGCCACGGAGGCATCCATCCACGGATTGTAATACGGCTGGAGTTTCAGCAAGTTCGCTTCTTCCTCCTCCTCCTCCTCCTCTCCCCCCTTTGTTGGGGCCAGATGGGACGTCCGGGTGGTGGATTTCGGTTTCCAGGGACCAGCCTGGGCTGGTGAAGCCTGTTCGGCCTCTTCTGGGAGTCTCCCGTGGCCACTCTCGGCCACGTGGATGCAGCTCTCGGTGGGCAGGTAATTGGGCACCACCTCCCACTCCAGGTTGGAAATGATGGGGATCCGGAAATGGGCTCCCATCCCTGCCCGAAGGACCTTGGGCTCCCAGGCATCAACACAGCCTGCGGGAAGGAGGAGAGGAAGGAGAAAGGGGGGGTAGCAAGACTTCGCCATCTAGGCAATGGGAAGACGGGGGGGGGGGGGACTTCAACTCCCAGAATTCCACAGCCAGTTAGAGGGTACGCCTATCTTAAAATCATGCTGCCTGGGGGATTCTGGGAGTTGAAGTCCTCCCCTCTTAAAGCCTGCTGGCTGGGGGATTCTGGGAGTGGAAGTCCTCCCCTCTTAATGCATGCTGGCTGGGAGATTCTGGGAGTGGAAGTCCTCCCCTCTTAATGCCTGCTGGCTGGGGGATTCTGGGAGTGGAAGTCCTCCCCTCTTAAAGCCTGCTGGCTGGGGGATTCTGGGAGTGGAAGTCCTCCCCTCTTACAGCATGCTGGCCAGGGGATTCTGGGAGTGGAAGTCCTCCTCTCTTAAAACATGCTGCCTGGGGGATTCTGGGAGTGGAAGCCC